TGATGGAATTTTAAAATACAGTGAACTCTCTAGAATTATGTTGGCCATCTTGACAGTTCCCCATAGTAATGCGGAGTGTGAGAGGATTTTCAGTGTTGTTGCAAAAACGAGAACTAAATTTAGATCTAATATTAGTGATGACACATTAGAAAAACTTTTATTAGCGAAAGCAGGCCTACGTGGCAATTGCTATGAACAAAATTATGAAGTTTCTTTCTTAACGAGACCTGCCACTGTCCATAACATTTGTAAAAAACTGATTAAAGTGCCTTTTATTAGTCCAAAGGGATTTCAGTCCCGAAGGACTATTGCTTTCGTTTTGGCATTTTGCGTCAGACTCATAAACGTCGGTTCACTTTTCAAACTGTTGCCACAAAATGTTAGAGTCCTGCATTATATTTGAAGAAATTAAATAATGAAAAATCTGCATAAATGATTGTCTATTTCTCGCATTGTGATAAAACAATGGTACATAGAGCCATCGAATTTTGAATGACGAAATCCTACTGCGAATGTAGGCATCTGAAATCCCAAATTTGGAATTTGTTTTATTATAGATTTTATATTTTGTAAAAACTTTAACGAATTTTTGATTTACAAACTCAATGCTTTAAAAAGCGAGAAATGGCAACGTTATATAGAAAAAAAAAATACTTTTATCTCCAGCTCGCGAGACTGTGTATATCGGAAATTCTAAAGATATGCTTAATTTAACATTATTTTGCGATATTGCTCTTGAACTGGATTTTATGGTTTAAGTGCAAAGAACATGATATTTAATAAATAAAGGTAACACTCAAAACGTTAAAAAAACGCCCCTTTGGACGTAATTTAAAATCTGAAAAATTTCAGATTTTTTTTATTTATTTATTTATTTTTTTTTAAACCATGAAAGTAATAAAAATGTTTTTTATGTCTAAGGTATTTTTGTTTTGCTTGCATTTAAGACTTAGTAACTATATAAAGTTAATTCCTTATTAAAAACTATATTTTTATCATTTAAAAAGTCTTTTTAACATTGTGAAAAATCTCCTGATTTCTTAAAAAAATCTCCTGATTTTTGAGTGTAATAGGTTGGCAAGTATGTAGTAACATTAAAGTGTCTTAAAAATATGTCAAGTTTACTTCTTATTAATCAGTTTGAAATATTTTATTTGGTTATTATGAATAGTTATCCACATGTTACTCTTTATAAAAACATTGCTCTTTACAGCTGTCATTTTTTATTGCCCCTCCTTTCAAAAAAAAAAAAAAAAAAAAATCTAAATCAAAAGTTACCAAAGCCTACACTTGTATACTGGTAAAAGAATTATGTGTAAGCATGATTTTTTTAATAGAAAAAAAGAATAAAGATCCAACACAAAATCAGCGTTATATTTTCAAAATTTTCACAGGACTAGTTTCGATGGTTTTACCGAACCATCATCTTCAGCTGCAAAACCGCAAATGAACAAGATAGGAAATAATGATTAGATAAGATAAGAAAGCCTGGACAAGAATAAGCAAGTGGCGCCATCTGTTGGCGAAACCAGAACTAAAACATAATTTCTCTAAAAGCCGAAGGCAAATTTGGATTGGAATTAGGATCGTTAACTAGAACAGAAAGATTTTTATGAATGTGAAATGCCTCTAGAAAATCCAGTTCTCCAATGGAAGATGTTTTTTGAATAATTTTGGCAGCAGAAAAATTGAAAGTGTGATTTTCGGACCAACAATGTTGAGCAACAGAAGACTTCTGTGTTTCCTTTTTTCTAACATATGCCTCATGTTCTTTGACGCGAAATTTTAAGGCTCTCTTAGTTTGGCCAATGTAAATTAAACCACACTGGCAAGGAATCCTATAAATACCCCAGGAATTCATATCCGGAATGGGGTCCTTGAGTATAGAAGTTGGAATTTTATTGATGGGGGAGAAATAACAACCCGAAAGTTAAATTTCTGCAAAATATGTGCAACTTTATAGCTAATTGATGGAAAGAAGGGAATGACAACAGAATTTTTATAATCTCCTAAAATAAGAGTGTGGCTTTTAGTGTGTTGAGATGAGAGAATTTTTTAACTGCTTGATTAATAATGTTTGGGTGAAAAGCCCCTGTCAATAGCTATTGCTTTTAAATAATTTAGTTCTTCATCAAGGGCTAGTTTGGAGGAGCAAACTTGAAGAGCACGGAAAACATAGGAATAAAATGAAGCTAACTTTTGTTTAGTCGGATGACATGATTTAAAGTGTGGTGGAAGGCAAACCGATGAAGGTTTACGGTAAACTGTAGTACTGAAGTTGGATGTGTTACGTGTGACCAGAATGTCGAGAAACGGAAGAGAATTGCAAGTCTCAAGTTCAAAAGTGAACTGAATAGCAGGATCAATAGAATTCATTGTTGAAAGAACTTATTTAAATCATCTTTATTACCTTCAAACAGGGTAAAAGTATCGTCTATAGCGGAACCATACCGGGAAGTTTTCCGGTCAAACAGGGTATCGTCTACGTAGCGGAACCATGCCGGGAAGTTTACAGTTTCAAACAATTTTGATTCATAATAATGTATGTAGATATTAGCCAGGACGGGACTGAGGGGGCTTTCCATGGCTATTCCCTTAGTTTGCTTGTAACATTTGTTTTGTAAAACAAAATGTGTTTGTTTCAAACAATGGGAAGATTTTCTGAACTACTTTAACTGGGAGACTGTAAAAGATGTTTTTCGAATTTAACTGCAAGAGTGTTTTTATGGCAGTTTAACTGCATTCTCTGCTCTAGACCAAGACTTTGTTCAAGGGCAGTTAATTTTGGATATGAATTAGTGAGTTTCAGATGAAGCTTATGGAGTTCAGTTCAATTTTGGACAATTGTTGACGTGTATCCCTTATGATGGACCGAAGTAAGGCAAGCTTGCAATTTAACAAAATTCTTGAAACGCGAGTGGAAGGTTTTTGATTACATTTGATTTGAATGAAATTGGGGATCAATTTTTTATATTTGCACTTAAGTAAAAAGTCACGATTCAGGAATTGATGAGCTAATTTCTCTCACTCAATTCTGTTTGAAACAAACACATTTTGTTTTCCAAAATAAATATTACAAGCAAACTGAGGGATTAGCCATGGGAAGCCCCCTCAGTCCCATCCTGGCTGATATCTACATGCATTATGAATCAAAATTGTTTGAAACTTTAAACTTCCCGGCATGGTTCCGCTACGTAGACGATACTTTTACCCTGTTTGAAGGTAATAAAGATGATTTAAATAAAGTTCTTTCAACAATGAATTCTATTGATCCTGCTATTCAGTTCACTTTTGAACTTGAGACTTGCAATTCTCTTCCGTTTCTCGACATTCTGGTCACACGTAACACATCCAACTTCAGTACTACGGTTTACCGTAAACCTTCATCGGTTTGCCTTCCACCACACTTTAAATCATGTCATCCGACTAAACAAAAGTTAGCTTCATTTTATTCCTATGTTTTCCGTGCTCTTCAAGTTTGCTCCTCCAAACTAGCCCTTGATGAAGAACTAAATTATTTAAAAGCAATAGCTATTGACAGGGGCTTTTCACCCAACATTATTAATCAAGCAGTTAAAAAATTCTCATCTCAACACACTAAAACCACACTCTTATTTTAGGAGATTATAAAAATTCTGTTGTCATTTCCTTCTTTCCATCAATTAGCTATAAAGTTGCACATATTTTGCAGAAATTTAACTTTCGGGTTGTTTATTCTCCCATTAATAAAATTCGGAGTTCCATACTCAAGGACCCCATTCCGGATATGAGTTCCTGGGGTATTTATAGGATTCCTTGCCAGTGTGGTTTAATTTACATTGGCCAAACTAAGAGAGCCTAACTCTTTCGCATCGAGAGAGGGCAATATCTCAATTTCCCAAACATATGAAAACGCCCGTATATAAGAATTTCTCCTGGAATGCTTTTCCTTCCCCCATGACAAGTTGAATACTACAGCGCTAACAATAGCCTTACTTAAATAAAGCGAGAACTTCTTTCTTTGTTGCTTTGACACAGTGTGAAGTTCCCTCTTGGGACGGGATTGCAACTTCGGGCATCAAAAGCTTAACACTGACAGTAAACAAAGGAAAGGAAGGAACAAAGGAAACAAGGAAGCTACTTTTAGTAGCTTCAAAAGAATAATTGACATGTGATTTAACAACACCTGAAAGCAATGAGTAATGCAGTAACAGGATGGGGGAAAGCACTGGGTAGGAAATTATTCAGGCGTTTCGGGCGTCCAGCCGATGTCTGAATGTTTGGGCGTTTGGGGCAACTTCGATGCGAAAGAGTTAAAATTTCGTGCCTGGGAACATGAGGCATATGTTAGAAAAAAGGAAACACAGAAGTCTTCTGTTGTCCAACATTGTTGGTCCGAAAATCACACTTTCAATTTTTCTGCTGCCAAAATTATTCAAAAACATCTTTCATTGAAGAACTGAATTTTCTAGAGGCATTTCACATTAAAAAAAATCTTTCTGTTCTAGTTAACAATCCTAATTCCAATCCATCTTTGCCTTCGGCCTTTAAAGAAATTATGTTTTAGTTCTCGTTTCACCAACAGATGGCGACACTAGCTTATTTTCTGTCCAGGCTTTCTTAACTGATCTGATCATTATATCCTATCTCGTTCATTTGCACTTTTGCAGCTGAGGATGGTGGTTCGGTAAAACCATCACAACTAGTCCTGAGTTGACTTCAGAATTCGTATTTGTTCGGCGTGTTATTGTGTCTAAATCTAAGGGATGGCTTTGGAAGTTGTGTTTCATGCCATAAATTTATTTGCCTACAGCTTTTGTACAAGGGACAGTTTGAAGAATTCTGGATGATGAGAAGTTATGAAAATTTTGTAGTATTTTTGTTCTTTTTTAAATGATCCTGAAAGAATAAATAAATTTTGCATTATTATTATTCCAGAGGTAATTGCTTTATTACTAATTAAATCATAAATTTTGTATATTTCATTCATAATTCTTATGAAAATCTTATTACTCATTTAGAAAGGCTGAGCAACAAAATAGGAAAGAAACTGCCAAAGAAAAAGAAAGACAAAAAGAAGAAAAATTAAGTGATGTAATGTTTTCAAACCTTCTTTAAAATGTTAAAGCATTATGTAATCAGTTTCAGTATTTAAGTATAATATTTTTCATTACTTTTTGTTAATTTTATGTGGGATTTACATATTATCTTGAGTATGAAATTAATTTGTTGAGAAAATTTCTCATAAAAATGCATGGTTTTTTTTATTAATGTAATTATTTGCAACACGCATTTAAAGATATGTGTATTTTATGTTGTCTTATTAGTGAAAAAAATTGTTTTTAGACAAAATTCTTGTAAAGAAAATGGTAGATTATTATTAAAGAATTAAAATTTAGAAATAGTGAAAATGTTGACTGTTAATAAGGTTCATATTTTTTTTGGAGACTGTTTTTTGGAAGCAACGTGTGCTTCAGATATACAATCAGGTGAGTGATTTTTTATTTAGTAGTAAAATAAATACCTTTCTGAGTCAATTATGGAAAGAGAAATTTCACTGCTCACCAGGTGGAAAATGAATGCAACTAATTGCCTTCATGTACTTAAGATGGTTAGGAAATACCTATCTTTACTAGAAGTAGTATATATTTCAAGAGGTTGTCTTTTAAAGTTTATGTTATGAAAGTGATTCTAAAAAAGTTACTTATGTGCTTCTAAGAATTCTCAACCAGAGACTTAAAATTACTCTTAAATTTGAAATCAAGTTGCTAGCCATGCCTTTATAATCTTCTTCTGAACAGTATATGTGTGTAAATATAATTATTCATCCCTAGTATATTCCAAAAATAGGTAATGCAGCATTCAAATTTTGGAGTTGGATATCTGGTTGAAGGTGCAGATCTCTGTGGAAAATTCATCTTGGGGATGCAGTATGTTTTTAAGACATGAGCAAAGGTTAATCTGTGAAAAGTTTGAGAACCACTTCTGTATGAAAATTGGTGGAACAGAATTTTTTCAAAAAATGTTACTACAGTCAAAAGTCGTTAATTCGGATACCCATAATGATCTATAATCCGGACCTCAAAGCTACAAACTTTCTGCGCATGCGTCGTGTTGATGCAAGACCTTTACAGATGCACGCAAGACCTTTACCGATGCACATATGCGTGTGCGCATGCGCATAATACGTTTACGCATGCGCGTTTAATGTATAACGGAGGGAATAAGGTAAAATTATCTAATTATCTATTTCAGTTAATGTTCCAGATTGCGTTGTTCCTTAATCTTCGAATTGGATCCGGCTTATTAATTTTGCAGACTGTTAGAGCAATTTTATAAAAGTAAGCTTGAACTTTCGATTATGTCAAATAGAATTTCCGAAGCTGGAGCACCCAAAGGATCTACAAAGCGAAAGTATGTTTCGATGTCCATCAAACAAAAAGTGGAATTGCTGCCAAAAAATGGATAAAGGCATATCCTTTTTTTCTCTAACCATTCCGAAATCTCTTTATCAATTTCACGCTGCTCTGCGGCGGGGGAGGGGGGACACAATGAATTGGAAGTTGATCTGTCAGCACTATTGATGCAAAGCAAAGTTTAAAGTTGTAAAATTAAACTTTTAGCAAAAGTAGCAAAAGAAGCTCCCTAAGGTTATACACTGAAGTGACCAAAGTCATGGGATAGCAATATGCAAATATACAGATGGCAGTAGTATCGCATAGAAAATGTATAAATGCGAAGTGCTTTGGCAGGGCTTTCATTTGTGTTCCATGTTATTCATGTGAAGAGGCTTTGATGTGATTATGGCCGCACGACGAAAATTAACATACTTTGAATGCAGAATGGTAGTTGGAGCTAGACGCATGGGTCATTCCATTTCGGATATCGTTAGGGAATTCAACATTCCGAGTCCACAGTGTCAAGAGTGTGCCGAGAGTATCTAATTTCAGGCATAACATCCCACCATGGACAGCGCAGTGGCCAACCACCTGCACTTAACGACCGAGACTAGCGACGTCTGCATAGAGTTGTCGATGTTCACAGACGAGCAACACTTCATCAAATAACCGCAGAAATCAATGTGGATGTACGAGGGACGTGTCCAATAGGACAGTGCTGTGAAATTTGTCTTCCTTGGGCTATGCCAGCAGAAGACCGACTCGAGTGCCTTTACTGACAGCACGACATCGCCTGCAGTGACTCTCGTGGGCTCGTGAGCATATCGGTTGGTCCCTAAATGAATGGAAAACCGTGGCTTTGTCAGATGAGTCACAATTTCAGTTGGTAAGAGCTGATGTTAGGGTTCGAGTGTGGTGCAGTCCCCACGAAGCCATGGTCCCAAGTCGTCAAAAAGGCACTGTTAAAGCTGGTGGTAGTTCCATACTGCTGTTTTTACATGGCATGGACTCGGTCCTCTGGTGCAACTGAACCGATCATTGACTGGAAATGGATATATTCAGCTACTTGGAGATCACTCACAGCCATTCATGGACTTCATGTTCTCGGACAACGATGGGATTTTTATGGATGACAATGCGCCATGTCACTGCACCACAATTGCTCGTGATTGGTTAGAAGAACATTCTACAGAATTCCAGCGAATGATCTGGCCACCTATATCGCCTGACAGGAATCCTATCGAACATTTATGGGACATCATCGAGAGGTCAGTTTGTGCGCAAAACCCTGCATCGTCAACACTTTCACAATTATGGACGTCTATAGAGGCAGCATGGTTCAATATTCCTGCAGGGGACTTCAAACTGCTTGTTGAGTCCATGCTACGTCGAGTTGCTGCACTTCGCCGGGCAAAAGGAGGACTGACAAAGTATTAGGAGGTATCCCATGACTTCGTTTATACTGTGCAAACATTGAAGACGAAAGTTTTTAACTTGAATAAATTTAATCAATATCAGAAACTTAGAGTATAACATAATCATTATCAAAAAAATTACACTTAATTGATCATCCATTAACACCAAGGGTTTTTTTTTCCTTTAAAGAATATTACACTATTAAAGACACAGTAAATATTTTACCTGATCTTTAAATACCGGCATTCAATACACGAAAAACATATTGAACAGGAACTACGCGGTTATAATGAAATTTGCTTCACTATCAATAAGTCCATGCTTTGTGGTCAAGAAGGCACCTGAAAAATTAAACTAAATAATTGAGAGCAACTTAAACCGGCAAAACGCCTGCTCACTGTAGTTACACACGAGAAATCACAGCTTGGAAAAACATTCGCCGCTAATTCTGGAAAAACACTTGTGTTGAAGATGCCGACTTCATGGAAAACAGGATACTAGCCACGGCAGTCGCTCACATAGTTGCCGCTTTTCAGGATCCAGAAAAAGTCATCTTTCGGAACAGAATCATGGCACTAGTCGCTAGCTGGCATGCATCGCAATATCATCTTCCAATGGGGGCTGCAACGGCACACCATGGAGCAAAGAAACAGGAGCCAGAAGGAATAAGCCAGAGCGACGCGAGATACTTATACCTGAAGTAGACTTGAAGTCATCTCAAGGCAATCAATCAGCTATCGGCACGACTCAGCTTTCCAGATGACGTAACATTAAGCTTCGTTTTTGCATCTTAATTAGGCTGGAACAGTCCGTTTTTAATACAAACAGTGGCAGTGTAAAACAAATTAGAAATAACTACTATATTTCCTTAAAATAAGAACTAAGCCTTATGTAAAAGTTAGAAATATTTCAAGGAGCAGAGATGATGCAGAAAAACGATTACAACAGGTCATATTTTCCAACAACTATCCTTATCTTCAGGGCAGATGTTTTTATTTTATTTGGCTTATAATTCCTTACTAAATGTAGTATTTCATCTTGATGTACTTCGTTTTTCATATGATTTAAATCAAATTCCTCGTCATTGTAATTCGCTTCCGATAGTGAAGAAAGTGACACAGAGGTTATTGAAAACGGAAAAATTTCGGTTGACAAATTAGTTGGTATTCTTGACACAGCAATTATAGGATTAAAGAGAAAGTATTATCACATAAAACGAAGCAACTTATACAACTTACATTGAAAGAAATGTTTAATAAAGTAAGCAAATAAATAAGCTTTTTTTTGTAAATTTTGATACCCTTTAGATCATAATTGTTCTTTATTTCATAAATTACGGTTTCATATTTTTAATTTTATAATTTCTGCATGCCATCTTACCAGATTTAAACTGATGATCTATAATCCGGAAAAATCGATAATCCGGAATCGCCGAAGTCCCGATTAACAACTTTGACTGTATTTTTAAACCATGATTTTACTATTCCAGAAATTATAGAAAAGTATAGATGTCTTAAACGTTAAGTTGCATTATATAAAATCGATAAATTTGCCTTGAAAAAAATTTTTGTTTTGATGTTTTTAATTTAAAAATAGTTTTCCATGGTATTTTAATATATTAAAAAATTCAATAAAAGCCTTTAAATTTTGTTAAAAAGAGTTTCCTTTAGGTACATTACCAGATAACAGTTGTTTGCTGCATATTTGTTGTGTCCCTGCTTTTTATGTTGTATACGCGTGCAAATGATAAAAAAATGTGATAATTTCCACAATCCAGTTATCCAAAATTGCTCTGAATTTTAATTTGAATCGATGACAAAATTTTTGTAAAGGCCTGTTTTCTTGAATAAAGTAATACACGGACTTTCAAAAGCTGTGCAACAGTGAAATCAACAAAAATGGGGAAAATTGTGCACACACAAAAGAGGGGGAATCTGAAAGCTCTCAGATTTTACATTACACCGAAAAAGGCTTTTTTTAATGTTTTGTATGTTACCTTTATTAAATATCATGTTCTTTGCACTTAAAACCAAAAAATTTAATTCAACAGCAATAACAAAACAAAACAACAAAGAAACAAAAAAAAAATTAAAATTAGCATATCTTTAGAATTTCCGATACACAGTCTCCCACTGAGATAAAAATGTTTTTTTCGTACAGTGTTGCCATTGCTCTATATGAAATCATTGAGTTTGTTAATCAAAAATTTGTTAAAGTATTACAAAATATGAAATCGATAATAAAACAAATTACAAATTAGGGCTTCTAGGTGCCCATATT